AACAGGATTCCGATAATACGAAGCAAAATTCATTCCTAAGACGCTATCGGTGAGTCGGAAGGGCTATCGGTGAGTCGTAATCGGTAAATCCGTAAGGTTGGCCAACAGCCAACATTTAAGGTATTGACTACCGATTTTCTTACGACTGACCAATCATGTAGCTTGGTAGCCATCTTTCAGTTTGAAAAAATAGTGCGAAATTTACGCGTGCATTATTTAATGAGTAATCTAGCTGTTGAATTCTCAAAAAATGAATCTGGACGACCTTGAAATTATTAAAATAGTACAGAGTAATCCATGCCTGTACGCAAAAGATATTAAAACGTATAGAAATGTTGATAAAAAGTCTTGTTGGGAACAAGTGGGCGCTGCCCTAACCAAACCAAAATCAGGTTTGTAAATTACTATGTTTTGCTCGTATTTTTCTTTAACACACAACACAAATTAATGATTTTCTATTTTAGAACTGATTGTATTCAGCCCCTTTCCGAAAATTCAACTTCTTTCCCATTGGTCGAGCCAAACGACTCGCTATACAACTAGCGACTCAATGGCTGCATTCAGCAGAACGTTTGTTTTGCAACTGTTGGAAGTTTCTTTCGCGCTAATTGGATCATACTTTTAGATCTAGAAGAATGGTCCTATCTCAGCAGACAATCATAAAACGGTTGCAAAACTGTTGAGTCTGCTGAACGCAGCTATTCATACAGACGACGGTGCTGCGCATGCGCATTGCAACATTTGGGACTCTAGCTTTCTCTCTCACACACATGGGTGGCATAGGCAATTCGTCTTCCAGTAGTAAAGTAGTATATGTTCTAAGGTCTGTGTAATAAGATGCATAATTTTATCTGTTTTGTTTAGTGTAGCTAATTTAAATAATTATGCGATTTAATTTTTTAAATTTGGGATATAAACAAATTGAAGTAAATTGAAAATGACTGCCGATTGTGCAATTAGCAATGAACAAGTGATTTTTGTTACGGGAGGTTATGATCATACTATCAAAATATGGCAACCGCATACGGGCGTCTGTCAACGTACTTGTCAACATACGGATTCTGTATCCTTTACTACATGTAAATGAAATAATATCTTGCATATCTTGTATAGTTTTTGTTCTATCAAATAATATTCAGTAAATATATTATTAAAACAAGCCTTATGTACATTATAGATAAAATAAATAGCAATTATAGTTTTATATTATATTGCATTTAATAGAGAAATATTTTTACATATTTCTACACTAAAATTTTACATATTTTAGTTATTAATAAGAAACTTTTTAAAGTTTTCATTGTGAATTTTTGAGTATTCTTAACGAGATTCACAGCAAGTTAACGCATTGGATATCACACCGGATAAGTATGTTGTAGCTGCTGCTGGATATCAGCATATACGAATGTATGATCTAGCTTCAAACAATCCTAATCCAGTTATCAACTATGAAGGAGTATCAAAAAATATTACCAGTTTAGGTTTTCATGTTTTTCGATAATATTATATATTTTTTTATATAAGATAATTTTTCATATTTTACAAACATACTTGGATACAGAGTCTCGGACAACCAATCGTGTCTCAGAAAAATCATGCAAATCTGTAATTACTTATGTTTCTGATAACTTTTTGTTATAATTGTGATAGGTAGATTGTTATTGAAAATATGTATTAAGTATAGTATCATTCATATACCAATTTATCAAGTAATTCCAACTGCTGCTTTGCATTTTTCTTGTTAACGCATTACGGACAGCTTCATATAATTGTATATTTGTAGAATACTATAATATAGTACAAAATATTAGAATGTCGGATTAAATGACATCCAATATTTTTATAGATTACATATATGTCTTATTCAAATAGATCATGTCATGCACTCAATATTAAATAAAATAATAATGTCATATATATATATATTATATGAAATATATTACATAAATATATTATTTGAATTACAAATATATTATATAAATAAAATTTGTAGTCGATAATGTTGTTAAATTGTTCGCATGCTACAAAACTTGAAAAATTTTCTGACATCTTTCGAAAATGTTTGAAAAACGTCTTTTGGAAAAGTCTTAAAGATGTCTAGTTCAAGACGTCTTTTGGATATCTTTCAGACATGCATGTTCTCTGGATTGTTCCATCTTTCGATAAACTTCAGCTCACTCTCTATTTCCCTTAGGCCTGATTGCACCAACGTTACTTTGACTTTAAGCAAAGCTTAAAACTCTCTCTGTCTCTCTTTTGCTTTAAAACGAGACAGAGTTCTAAGTCTTGTTTAAAATCAAAGTAGCGTTAAGTCTTGCTCAAAGTACATCACCCATATATTTCATACAAAAATTGAAATGTTTGAATAAATGCATCAAATGGCGATACTCACTTGACTTTGAACACAAGTATGGAAAAGCTCTCAAAATTCACTTCAAAATTTTTGATGGAAACCCTCATTTTTTATTCAATATTCTTGTATAATTAACTTTAAGATCTTTTTAGAATACAGGAATGATAATAATTTATCATGATTAAGACCATTGAAGGTTGTTGCTCATTTTCATTTTTATATAAAAAAGAAAATATTTTTTAGGAAGAAGGAAAATGGATGTATACAGGAGGAGAAGATTGTTCTGCAAGAGTATGGGATTTGAGGTAAATCTTATACAGAAACAAAAGAATGATTTATATTTTTAATTCTATTTTTAGTAATATAAATTTAATGATAGATCTAGCAGCTTTCAATGCCAAAGAATATTTCAAGTATCTGCACCTGTAAATTGTGTGTGTTTACATCCCAACCAAGCAGAACTAATTGTTGGCGATCAAAGTGGAGTCATACATTTATGGGATCTTCGTTCTGATCATAATGAACAATTAGTATGTTATTTTTTTATATTAAAAAATTTTACAATAAAGTAGAAACAAAATTATAGGAGCTTTCCAACAACACAGATGACACATTGTAACACAGTGAATTATTAATCATTTTATCCTTATTTTTCGCCAATGTTAAATAAAGATGAAGTAATCACTGTGTTGCACAGTATCGCTTGTTGGAGAGCTTCCTATGTGAATAATCAACTAAAAAGAAGCACCACTACGATTAAAGTTAAATATTATAATAATAATTCAATGAAATTTATTTTAAATACATTTTCCTTAACATGATTGCGCGCCGATTACTTTCGGATTTGCAACACAATCAAACCGAAATCTCACAAATTAAATTTGATCATGATTTGAAGAATTCTTATTATGAAAAGTATTATCTCATCCAGGATTTAAACCTGGATCACCCGAAGGAAAGATTTTATTTCAACTTATTGTGCACCGATTATTTACGCCGAGGACTTCAATGCAGACATCCATCCAATTCAACCACCGAAGCATGCGGTAATGTTTGTCGCAATAACTAATATGTATAGAAGGAAGTTCTCGGCATAAGTAATCGGCGTGCAGTCAGTCGAAGTAAAATGTGTTTTAAATAAATTACATATAGAATTATTATTCCAAAATCTAACTTTTAGTGGCACTTCTTATTTACAAGGGAAGTTTCATAAATGGAAACACGAAAATCTAAGAGACACGTATTTTTTTATATGTGCGCTAACTCACGTGTGAAACACCCCTTAAACATGAGTTAGGGCACGTATAAAAAAATTACGTGTCTCTTAGATTTTCGTGTTTAACAACATATTTCATGGAGAATCAAATCGGTTTCGGACAGTTGTGAAACTTCCCTTGTTAGTTGAAAATTTTACATATATATTTAGAATCTAAAATTGCGAGGAATTCGAAGGATTTTACTTTCTATTATATATCTATATTAAAATATTTATATAAATAATGTACAAGGTGTCCAGTAAGTTTTGATAAAGTGCTCATGTGCAGGTAGAGTGGACTAAACTGAATCAAAGTGTTCTGTATCATTTTGTAATTTTTACAATAGTTTACAAGAAATTAATTGCTAAAGATCGCCGAGCGCGTCCCAATTTTTGCTAAGTACAAGCACATAGCGAAATACGATCACTCAACACGGAGAGCTGTTTCCTTTCACGCTTGTGCATAACTGCCATGTGTAGTAAATAATTCTCCATGCGCGCCTAGCAATCACGACTAATAGGCCGAGTGAATGATACGCGCTCATTCGGTGATCTTTAGTAATTAATTTTTCGTAAATTATTACGAAAATTGCAAAAACGGTATAGAGGACTTTCGACTCGGTCAGTTTAGTCCGCGCTACTTGCACACAAGCGCTTTGTCAAAAAACTGGATACTCTGTATATGATTTATTATTTAAATATTTTTATTATAGATTCCTGAAGCTGAATCTTCGATTCAGGATATTACAATAGATCAAGATGGCACTTATATGGCTGCGGTAAATAATAAAGGACATTGCTACATTTGGACGCTTTCAGGAGGCATCGGAGAAGAACCTACAAAACTTAATCCTCGTCATAAGCTTCTAGCTCATAAACGTTATGCTCTCCGCTGCAAATTCAGTCCTGATTCTACGTGAGTATTTCCTTATTTTTATGATAGACATTTTTATTATTTTTAAAAATTTATGTACATGTTACATAGGAGTATATAAGGCGTCCCAGAATAATGGGATTACCTCTCGTGAGCGAATTAAACTCAGTCAAAAAGTTGTCTATCATTTTCTGCAATTTTCGCAATGATTAACGAGATATTAACTTTTAAAGATCACCGAATAACACGGCTTACCCGAGATATAAAAAGTAAGGTTTACCATTCCCATGAATGCGCAGTAGCAGAGTGAATTTCTGGTCAAATTTCACTGGCTGTTTCACTATACGAACGATATACGCAAGAAAATGCATTTATGATCAATTTGATTAGTTGTTCTCAATATTGCTATCGCCATTATGCACAATGTTATATCATTCTTTTTACATTATGAGTCTATTCATAGGTGTAGTCGAGTCTAAAAAATGTTTATTATAAAATGTTAACAAAGAAATAATAGCATGTTATCTCCAACAATTTTTTATACCTTTTACTGAATACAGCTTATATTCAAATTAATTTATTAAGATCGTTGGTAACAACATCGGCTGATCAAACTGCGCGAGTATGGAGAACAACAGATTTTTCCGAAGTACAAGTGCTTCAACATGAGGCAAAGCGTTGGGTTTGGGATGCAGCATTCAGCGCAGATTCTCAATATGTATTTACCGGTGAATATCTCTTCTTTTTAAACATTCCCTTTCCCTAGTAATAAGAATTTGCACGCAAATATATGTATACTTATGTAATTTCTAATAAATATTCCGATTTATAATTTCTTAAAAAATTTGTAATCAAAGTTTTATAAATATCTAGTATACTTTTATTTTATATATTATAGCTTCTTCAGATGGAGTTGCAAGATTGTGGAATGCATCTACAGGAACAGTAGAACGAGAATATCAAGGACATCAGAAAGCTGTCACAGCTCTTGCTTTTCGCGATGAAATTGTTTCCGCAAGCTAGAAATAAAAAATGACTATTTAAATATTAGATTTAGCAACCTATGAGTGACTCAACCTTAAATGAGAATGAATTTTTATACAGAAATTATACGTTTCGCGTGTTATTTCCGTGTCCAAATCCATTCTTAGAATGCCAACGTTTCGTCAACATTGCAGTTCACTTTATCAGGGCGAGGAGCAGCCTAATACTAGAATGATTTTTTTTATTTATTTAAATTAATTTAAAAAGGCACATTACCTTAGTGAGATCGAGACTAGAACCTCTGGATTATGAGTTTTCTGCGTTACGTGCTACACCATTTCTTCAATTGATGAATGCGTTACTTATTGTCTATACTATAACTAGCGCGCATAATTATATAATAACAAAATGTAATTTAATATATTAATAAAAATTAAACAATTTACATTAAAATTATTGTCATGACATTGAGTAAGAATCTAATCTTGCTTGGGCCGATATTGCACCGTGATTGTGGTATGGACGCTCATTCAAAGAACGTCTATTGTATATCCGTTCCAGACCGGGATAATTGGCACATAATGGCTGCTTAAAGATCGTCCTTTGGACATCTCTTCTTCGTGAACATAATCAGGACATGAAATGAACACCATGTGGGCATGGTGAACCCAAATGGGCATCCATTCTTCAAATAGGACGTGTGTTGTATGAAAGAAGATTGCACAAAATATTAAATTTATCTCCTTTGTGTAGCATGACAGATAAATAATAATAACAGATAAATATCCAGATAATATTTATGTTGCATATGATATCTAAAAGACGTCTTTTAGATGTCTTGTGTCTAAAAGATGTCTAAAATTTGGATATCTTGTGCAACATGCATGTTATTTGGGTACTGTTTTGCAAAAAAAAATAACCATTACTTATTATAAATTTTGAAATAATATAACGATATTAAACAACATCAGAAAAAAATAAAAGGAGGTGCTAATAATAAAAGTGTAACGTAATTAACATTTTTAATATATTTCTTATTTTCTAGCTTTTTGTTCGATTTTATGTATCATATAACTACTTACATTACTATAGTCGATTAAAATCGCAAATTTACATTTCTATAGGAAACAATAAAATGAAGCAGGATACATTTCATCTAATAAGACAGACTAATTTGCTTATTTAAATACATAAATGGAAACACTGTAGCTTGTAACGAATTATGTTGTTATAAAATTCTATTACATTTTACGTAGATATTATAGTTTACATTTCTGGAATATTTAAATCTTTCATAAATTTTTTCTTTTTTCAGAAAATATTATACATTTAAAATTTAAAGATCTAAAGATTTATATAATTTGTAGAAAATAAAAATTGTTAAATATGTGGATTTTTAAGAAAAGAAAAATCAACTAAATTTCTAAAAAGTATTTAAAAATCTTTCAAAAATGCGCTGAGAATACAATTTATAAGAAGGGATTCTTACAATTAGTTCCATAAACAGAAAAGAAAAAAGAATTCAACAGGTAAAGTAAAATATTTTTCACAAGAAAAGTAATAATAAAAGAGATATGTAATCAATACTTCGACATTTTATGTAATTTTAACTCTGTGACTTTTTTAATATTACTTATCAGCTTTAACATTAAAACATTTTGGAATTATTAATAACAAAATTTCATAATTCGTTACTTCACCTTTTTGTACTTTGTACCATGTTATAGAGATCATAATCATGATCACGATCAAGATCTTCACAATCACCGATTTTCACTCACTTATATACATTCATTTAATAATAGTCACTACTGTCACAGCTTTATTTGTTTGCATTTAAAGAAATTTAAAATAAATAATGTCGTGATGAGACGTTTTTTTCAACAAAAAAAAAAGTCATTTACAATATATACAATTAACATAATTCAAATAACAATTTTCATACATATTCCTAAATGTTTGTATGTGTTTGCATAGTAACGCGGTACAATAAATAAATTTATTTTAGAACTACGTATAATCGCAATTCATTTTATATAATAAATATAATTAATATTCAATTATCAATCTCAATTCTATTAAATATTTGACTAATAACACACATCAAGTATAATCAATTAATGTTTCTTAGACCCTCATTAAGACACACACTTAAATTGTATATTTACCTTCTTTTGTTTCTTGTTTAAAGCTTCTATTAAATTCATTTAATTATTCACTGACATGAAGATGTTATAATAAAACGTATTGATAATTTTCGCATCTGCTCTTTTTCTACAATATTTGTCTTTATTCTATCTCTTTCAGAATGTTGTATACAATTTGTAATTATTTGTTATACAAGGTATTCTAAAAAATATAAAATTTTTTAATTTTTTTATTAATTGAAAAACGTTAGTCCATATATATATTCGTCTTCCGATTAATGTTGCATTTAATCTAATCAATTATGAATCTGAGGTTTACTTAATTTAATATAAATAATACAAAACATGTTACGTACAAATATAATTTAATATTATAAAAGTATTATCATATTTTAAGGAAAATATAAAAGGAACATTTAAATAGATTCCAAATTAGTTGTGATATTAATTAAAAATAATATCAATTTATCTTTCAAAATCCGTTCTCCCTCTCTATATTTTCTTAGAAATAAAATTACTGTAATACATATATTTTTAGAATATCTTGTATAATTCTTAGGTATATAATTAACCTCTTAATATTCATCAATCAATTGAATATGCTATTATTTATGCAAAATCAACACAGTAATATTTTATAAAAAGAGATTTTAAAATAATAGACCACATGTATCAATTATTCGTCATCTCTTTTTTTTTTATAAATCTTCGACTTTGTTCGGTTCTGCCTTCATCTCTAAGATGACCAACTATATTGTAATTTTTGTTCATTCAGTTTTGTATACCTTATTACACTAAATAAAAACATGCTCTTGCTTTTATCTGTAAATCTGCAATATTTATTTGCAATGTAAGTAATTGAAAAAAATAGCCAAAGATTATGAGATATAATTGTGAATCTTTCTAATGAATTTATCGATCTAGATATATTATACATACATTAAGAATCTATTGTTATAGAAAGAATGATTTTTATTTTAAGAAATTATGAAACAATGATTGATGAAGTGCAAAAATTCATATTAGTAATAATCAATGTCTATATTTAAGATTTCATGGTATTAAAATAATATTACCCAGAAAAAAATGTTCTATATATGGACATATTTTATATATAACTGTATATAAAATATGTCAGTTTTTTATATAATTATATATAATTTTATATAATTATATATGAAACTTTTTATTATATAAATATAATAAAAATGCATAATATCATAGATTCTTGAATGATTTGTATCAAATTTCTTGAAATTTAAGGATATGTTGAAGCAAAAAATTAGAGATCCAAGAATTTATTTTCTACGTATTTGTAGCCACTTTTTTATGTATTGAATGTGATATACAAGATTCAAGTTTGTAACATTAAGCGAATCCTACGATTAGTCATGTTGTAAATAGCACTTACACACAGACGATTTACGTGTCATTGACACATCACTACGTACTACTACATCAATATTTCACATACACATAAATTTTCGTATAACAATATATAACATTTTAATTAGACCAAGTCAAAGTCAAGTCAAAGTCAAAGACAAGACTAAGTACAATTTTAAGAACTCCAGACAACAAAAAGTATCTAAAATCAGGTCATAAGACGTATTTTGCATGTAAAAGACGACTTATTAAAGATCTTTGTCTTATGTTAATTTTAGACTTTGTGTTATTTGGGACTTTGTTTCTTCATACAAACTACTAGTCTGTGGACTACTATTTCGTAAGTACAGATTATATAGCTTTTATACAAAGCAAATATTGACACGTGACAGCTTTAGAAATAGTAGTCTACAGACTATATTATAGTCTACTATAATAGTTTGATTATATAGTCTACTATAGTAGTTTGCACGAAGAAATAACGTGAAATTCTTAAAATTGAACTTAGACGTTTAATTAAAGCGTTGTTACACGAAAATTTATGTGTGTGTGGCATACGTGAGTGAGATATTGATCTAGTAATGTATCAATGACACGTAAATCGTCTATGTGTAAGTGCTATTTACAATATTATTAATTGTCTTTAGGATGCCCTTAAGAACTATTGAAATTAGAAAATAAAATAAAAAATCGGGTTTTGTAAAATGTTTCGTAAACAGATTTCTCGAACTTTTATTCTTGAATTTTTATACTTTCAAATTTTTCTCAATATCTTAGATTCATAATTCTTTATGTTGACAAATTTTTAAATTATCCATTTAGTTTTAAATTATCTATTTTTTAATCTATTTAATTTGTTTTAGTTTATAAATCCTTGAATCTCTATATTTCGAAATTCTTTCTTTAGTTTTATGTTCTTAATATAATATTTAAACTTCTAAATTTTAGCATGATTTCCGATATTTATATATTTAAGGCCTGTTTTCATAATATGTGATTACCTAAAGATTAAAGGTTACCAAGGCTGCTTTCCTTTTAGGAGATACTGGGTGCTTTCTATTTGATGACACAAGTCGACACAAGCGTCGTTCTCTCCTTCTTGACAGTCAGAGAGTGACAAAGATAGAATGACATTTGTGTCGACTTGTGTCATCAAATGGGGAAAGCACCTAGTGTAAGAGATACAATGAAATTCATTCACGAATTTTTTTATAATCTTTAATCTTTAAGCCTAATCTATATTCGTCGTATCATAGGCGTCGCAGGTAAACTTGTTGCATCAGCCATGCGTCAATTTTAAAATCGCACGACTCTTGCGATGCTATGATACGACCTTTTATGTATTTATATACGACCTTTTATTTTCAGCTATTTGAATAATTTAGTTTTCCTTTCTTCTTTAATACTTCATATTTCAGTAAATTAATATAAATAATAAAAAGTAAGAATTTACATACATGAAGAAGTATAATTTAACAATAATATAATTTTTTACACATTTGAGTGTTCTGAATTAATATTATTATGGCAAATAGATATGTCGTAAACGTAGTAATGTTCTATTTTGGTATTAAATAAATGATACCTATTAAATTCGTTACTTATGTAAAATATAAACATGCGCAATAAAATATAAAATAAGCGATAAAATATTTAATTGTGAAATTTACTTTGTGCTTTTATCTAATAGAGAATAGACAATATAAATTCTATTTTATAGAGAACGCTTTCAATTGTTGCACCAAAAAAATAATTATCTAAGATTCACAGATTCTTAAATCTTTGAAACTTTAACGTGTCGGGATTGTGTTTAGTTTTGCGGGTTTTAGATTCTGAGCAATATGTAGAAAT